GGCTAACAGAATTCTGCCAAGAGAATGCACTGGTCATAGCAAACACCATTTTTCAACAAGGCAAGAGATGACTTTACACATGGGCATCACCAAATGGTCAATACCGAAATCAGATCAATTACATTCTTTGTAGCCAAAGATGGAGAAGCTCTATACAGTCAGCAAAAACAAGACCGGGAGCTGACTATGGCTCAGATCATGAACTGCTGCTGCTGATCATGAACTCCTTATTGCCAAATTCAGACTTAACTTTAAGAAAGTAGGGAAAACCACTAGACCATTCAGGTGTGACCTAAATCAAATCCCTTACAATTATACAGTGGAAGTGACAAATAGATTCAAGGTGTTAGATCTGATAAACAGAGTACCTGAAGAACTGTAGACAGAGGTTCCTAATACTGTACAGGAGGCAGTGAACAAAACCACCCCGAAGAAAAAGAAAAGCAAGAAGGCAAAGTGGTTGTCTGAGGAGTCTTTACAAATAGCTGAAGAAAGAAGAGAAATGAAAAGCAAGGGGAAAAGGGAAAATACACCCAACTAAATGCAGAGTTTCAGATAATAACAAGGAGAGACAAGAAGGCCTTCCTCAATGAGTAATGCAAAGAAATAGAAGAAAAACAACAGAAGGGGAATAGTAAGACTAGAGATCTTTTAAGAAAATTGAAAATATCGAAGGAATATTTCATCCAAAGATGGGCACAATAAGGGACAGAAAAGGTAAAGTCCTAATAGAAGAAGAAGAGATAAAGAAGAGATGGAAAGAATACACAGAAAAACTGTACCAAAAAAAATCTTAATGACCTGGATAACCACGATGGTCTGGTCACTCACCCAGAACCAAACTTTCTGGAGTGTGAAGTCAAGTGAACCTTAGGACACACTGCTATCAATAAAGTTAGTGGAGGTGATGGAATTCCAGCAGAGCTATTTAAAATCCTAAAAGATGGCGCTATCAAAGTGCTGCACTCAATATGTCAGCAAATTTGGAAAACCTGGCAGTAGTCATGGAACTGGAAAAGATAAATCCTCATCCCAATTCCCAAGAAGGGCAGTATTAAAGAATATTGAAACCACTGAACAATTGCACTCATCTCCCATACTAGTAAGGTTATACTCAAAATCCTTCATGCTAGGCTTCAGCATTGCATAAACTGAGAATGTCCAGATACTCAAACTGGGTTAATTTTTTTTCACCATATATTTAAGGTTTCTTAATTTAAAAACACATAGGGGAGTCATAAGAAGATATACTTGGAATCTAAGCTTGCAGATTACACCTTTTCTTTAATAGCCTGATTTGCTGAAATAAATATATGATAAACTGTTGAAAAATGATGGCTGTTTTTTCAGTAGTTACTGAGTTTTAAGGTTTCCCTGGTAGCTCATATGGTAAATAATCTGCCTGCAATTCAGGAGACCCAGGTTTTATCCCTGGGTGGGGAAAGATTCCATGGAAAAGGAAATGGCTACGCACTCCAGTATTTTTGTCTGGAGAATTCTATGGACAGAGGAGCCTGGTGGGCTGCAGTCCATGGAGTCACACAGAGTTGGACATGACTGAGCAACCAACACTTTTACTTTTTCACTGAGTTTCAAATTCTAAGACAGATATTAACACCACATATACATACATACACATATGTTATATATGATATTAAAATAACAATTGATAGAGATATATATTCATTAAAATAGTAATTGATTAAAATAACAGTAGCTTAGACTCATTAAAACAACTTTCTTGTTAAGTAATTATGTTTCTTCCCTCACACAATTCATTTCTCACCTAGATTTTTCCAAAGGAGGCTATGTTATTGTGACAAACCCTTCTGTTATTAGAACTTAGGAGGTCATTTCTTATAGAGCAAAATGTCTGGTACTTACATGGAGATTTCCAAAGATTTAGCATCTTTATTAGTTCTTAAGATCTACTATGATATCATTGCACAGAAAGTCAACTTCTAGTCAACAATTTTAAAATAATCTGACTCTGGATGTTCAGAACTTTAGTTAGCTCTTAATTGCTGTAACTGTGGATTTTTTTACTCCTCTCTTGAAAATACATATCAATAAAGCCAGAAAGCAACAATCATTCATTGGCAAGTAAATAGCTGCCACATTGTATATGTTTTATTTAGAACACCAATGTTTTGGTCATTAAATGGAGGCAAAATGATTTGTAAATACTAAGTGCCCTGCAAACAGGCATTAGCATCTATGAATTTTGCATGCCACTTGGACTAGGCTGTTAATCAAGCTGGATTTAGAAAAAGCAAAGGAACCAGAGATCAAATTGCCAACATTCACTGGAACATAAAGAAAGCAAGGGAATTCCAGAAAGACATCTACCTCTCTTTCATTGACTACACTAAAGCCTTTGTCTGTGTGGATCATAACAAACTGTGGAAAACACTTAAAGAGATAGGAATACCAGAACATCTTACCTGTCTCCTGAGAAACCTGTATATGGGTCAAGAAGCAACAGTTAGAACCTTGTATGGAGCAACTGACTGGTTCAGAAATATGAAAGTAGTACGACAGTGCTGTTTATTGTCACCCTGTTTATTTAACTTATATGCAGAGTGCATCTTGCAAAATGCCTGGATGAATGAGACACAAGATGGAATCAAGATTGCTCGGAGAAATATCAACAACCTCAGATATGCGGACGATACCACTTTAATGTCAGAAAATGAAAAGGAACTAAAGAACCTCTTGATGAGGATGAAGGAGAAGAGTGAAAAAGCCAGCTTAAAACTCAATATTAAAAAAACCAAGATCACGAGTGGAGAAGGAAATGGCAACCCACTCCAGTATTCTTGCCTGGAGAACTCCATGGACAAAGGAGCCTAGTGGGATACAGTCCGTGGGGTCACAAAGAGTTGGATACAACTAAGAGACTAACACTGAAGATCATGGCATACAGTCCCATCACTTCATGGCAAATAGAAGGGGAAAGAGTAGAAGCAGTGCCAGGTTTCCTGTTCCTGGGCTCTAAAATCACTGCGGATGATGAGTGTAGTGATGAAATTAAAAGATGATTGATTCTTGGGAGAAAAGCTATGACAAAACTAGACAGTATGTTAAAAGTAAAGACATCACTTTGCCAACAAAGGTCCGTATAATCCAGGCAATAGCCTTTCCAGCAGTCATATATGAATGTGAGAGCTGGACCATAAAGAAAGCAGATCATTGAAGAATTGACGGTATTGAATTGTGTGTTGGAGAAGACTCTTGAGAGTCGCTTGGACAGAAAGGAGAAGAAACCAGTCAATCCTAAAGAAAATCAACCCTGAATACTCATTGGAAAGACTGATGCTGAAGCTGAAACTCCAATACTTTGGCCATGTGATGTGAAAAGCCAACTCTTTGGAAAAGACTTTGATGCTGGGAAAGATTGAAGGTGGGAGAAGAGGATGGCAGAGGATGAGATGGTTGGATGGCATCACCAATTCAATAGACATGAATTTGAGCAACCTCCAAGAGATGGTGAGGGACAGGTAAGCTTGGCATGCAGCAGTCCATGCAGTTGTGAAGAGTCAGACATGACTTGGCAAATGAACAGCAACACAGAATTAAATCATCTGCAAATTGGAATCCTTTCCAATTCTATTGCCTTTTGTATATCTTTCATGACTGATTCCTCTTGCTAGGACTTATAGAACTATGAGTGGTAAGTGAGTGAACCCTTATATTATTCCTGATCTTAAAGAAAAATCTTTCAAACTTTCACCATTGAGTATGATGTTAGCTGTGGATTTACCATATATGATCTTTATTATGCTGAAACAGGCTTCCCTGGTAGCTCGCTGGTAACCAATCCACCTGCAATACAGGAAAAGACCCCAACTCAATCCCTGGGTTGGAAGATCCCCTGGAAAAGGGATAGGCTACCCCCAGTCCAGTATTCAGTGGCTCAGATGGTAAAGACTCTGCCTGCAATGTGGGAGACCTGGGTTCAATCCCTGGGTTGGGAAGATCCCCTGGAGGAGGACCTGGCAAACTACTCCACTATTCTTGCCTGGAGAATTCCCATGGACAGAGGGGCCTGACAGGCTACAGTCCATAGGGTTTCAAAGAGTCAGAAATGACTGAGTGACTAAGCACAGCACAGCATGCTGAGATATTTTCCTTCTATACCTAATTTGTTAAAAAGTTTTATCATGGACAGATGTTGAATTCTATCAAGTGCTTTTTCTGTATCTATTGAGATTGTCATATGATTTATCATTTCATTTTATTAATGTGATGTGTCACACTGATTGATGTACCTATGTTGAATTATCCTTGCATCCCAAAGCCAAATTCCATTTCGTCATGGCTTTAACGTGCTGCTGAATTTGATTTACCAGCGTTTTATTGAGAATTTTTTCACCTATAGGTATCAAGGATATTGGTTTTAGTTTTTTCTTCTGGTAGCATATCCAGAATCTGACTTTGGTACCAGGGTAATGCTGGCCTCATAAAATGAGTATGGGAGTTTTCCTTCACCTTTGATTTTTTGGAAGAGTCTGAGAAGGTTTGGCATTATTTGTTCTTCAGGTATTTGATAAGATTCACCAGTGAAGCCATCTGATCTTGGGTGTTTCTTAGCTGGGAGATTTTTGATTACTCATTCAATCTCCTGACTAGTAATTGGTCTATTTTGATTTTCCATTTCTTCCTGATTCAGTCTTGGTTATTTGTGTATTTCTAATTACTTTTCCATTTCTTGTAGGTTGTCCAGTTTTTAGCATGTAGTTGATGGTAGTGGTAAGGGTTAATTTTAAACATTCACTTACCATACTCTTGGCTTCTAAGAAAATGCTAAAATTATCCAAGTTTGAAGAAATGAACAGATGAAAATATCCAAAAATGAACAGGATGAAAAAAAAGTCAGCAAAACATCAGAAAAAATATTAATATAGGATAATAGAGACAGTTTTCTAAAATTACAAATCACTTTTTTCTGCCACCTCTAGGTGATATTCTAATTGATGTCTTGCTTCTTGCAGTCCCAGATGGGCACTAGATGGACATGTCAATGGCACCATCCCAGATGACTTCATCCTTTTGGGTTTTTCAGATAACCCCAGCCTTGAAATGACCCTTTTTGTGACTGTGTGTATCTCTTACATGGTCACCCTAGTGGGCAACACCACAATCATACTTCTGTTCCACCTAGACCCCCACCTCCACACGCCCATGTACTTCTTCCTCACCAACCTGTCCATCCTGGACCTCTGTTTCACCACCAGCTGCATTCCCCAGATGCTAGTCCATCTCGGGGGCCCAGACAAGACCATCAGCTACCTGGGATGTGCAGTCCAGCTCTATATCTTCTTGGGACTGGGAGCTGCTGAGTGTGTGCTGCTGTTGGTCATGGCCTTCGACAGATATGTGGCAGTGTGCCGACCCCTACACTATACAGTCATCATGCAGCCTCACGTGTGTCACAAGCTAGCATTCTCGGTCTGGGCAAGTGGGATATTTGGCACCTTGGTGCAGTCACCCACCACCATGAAGCTCCCCTTCTGCCATCATCACCGGGTGGACGACTTTGTCTGTGAAGTCCCTGCACTGATCCGTCTGGCCTGTGGGGACACACACTCCAATGAGCTCCAGATTTCTGTTATTGGCTCTGTCTTCCTGATGGTGCCACTCCTGCTCATCCTTATCTCCTATGGTCACATTACCCAGACAGTGCTGGCCATTCAGTCCCATGAAGGGAGGAGGAAGGCCTTCCAAACCTGTTCCTCTCACCTGGTTGTTGTTTTTCTCTTCTACTGCACTGGCAGTGCGGTTTACATCCAGCCCCGAAGCCATTTTTCCCAGAAGGGAGGAAAGTTTCTAACTCTTTTCTACACTGTGGTGACCCCCACTCTCAACCCTCTCATCTATACCTTGAGGAACAAGGACATGAAGGGGGCTCTCAAGAGGCTATTTTGGAAAGACAGAGCATCCAATGTGCAGTAAGGAAATCAGCTCAGATTCAGGAGCTAATTTGTCAGCCTTTGTCCAGTTGCTCACAGCATTAAATATGTGGTATTTCTTTTGTGGGGACTCTCAATTATCAACACAAATGTGAAAGGTCAAAAGCATGATTTGTCCAGACAGAATATCCGTCAATAGTAAAATTTGATGCATCCTGCAATGTTGTTCTTAAATTTAAATGGAAGTGCAGCATTGCTCCCATCAGGTTACCAGCACATAATAGACACCATATATTTTATTTTTTTCCATTTTTATTGGAGTATAGTTGCTTTACAATGTTGTGTTAGTTTCTGCCATACAACAAAGTGAATCAGTTATACATAGACATGTGCCCCTCATTTTTAGTTTTCCTTCCCACTTAGATCACTGCATAACACTGAGTAAAGTTCCCTGTTCTATAGAGTAGGTTCTTATCAGTTATCTATTTTATACACAGTGGTGTATATACGTCAATCCCAATCTTCAGGTTCATCCCGTTCCCTTCCTCCTTGGTATCCATAAGTTTGTTCTCTATGTCTGTGTCTCTATTCAAAGAGAGAACTTATTTTAAGGAATTATTAACTAGCTATTGAAGGAGGGAAAGGCAAAAGGAAGTAGCTACAACCCCTAGCACTGAGGGGGCACAAGAAAATGACTGAAATTGCTAAAATTGATGAAATAGCTAAAATTGAAAAGAGCAACCTTAAGATGCCTCTAAGCAACAAGCAAGGTCACCTGGACAGGCTTTTTCTACCTGCGAAGGTTTTCTTTCAATGGAGACCAGACAGACCAACTCCCGCTCATTGTCAGCACCATTGGGTTTACCTTCTATGCTTTTTCTTTCACTAACAACTGGTTGGGAGACTGCCTTGGAAGGGATAGTATCTATAATAGTAAGTGCAAATCTTGACCAATTTGCACAGCTAATGACATTACCTCAGTATTAGCCCAAAAATGGCTGCATCAATTCTGGCTGATAGGTCTCTGGGCCAGATATTCCAGGACTAGGAATAATTTGAACAACAGGAATTAAGAAGGGAAAAACTTATTAAGTTGTGTCACCCAGTGTGGCCACAATATCAGTTAGGAAATTGAAAATGGAGTGAAGTACACTGTGTTCAAATTTTCATGGCCTTGCATTTAGGTAATAGAACCCAAAAGGAATTTAAGGCATGTGTAACTTGGAAGGATAAATCCAGGAAGTACACAAAGGACATTTTAATAGACCCACCCTATGGGACCACGCAGTATACTTAGTAGGGATTGAGGTCATCCATGAGGGAAACCCACAATGGAATTACTTGGTGAATTCAATCGATAGAAATAGATGGGGCCATATGATTACCTGTTTAATAGATGATATGAAGAAACTTACAGTAAAACTTGTTAAATATGAAAAGGCAAAAGAGGTCCAATAGGGCTAGGATGAAGATCCTGTAGTATTCCAAAGGAGACAAGTGGAGATTTTGTAAAAGTATACAAACATAGATTCTTCCTCTCCTGAAGGACAGGCCCTTTTGGATTCCATAGGCCAGTCTTCCCCAGACATCAGGCACAAAACTCAGAAAGTAATTTCTGAATCACTTCAGTGAATGAGTTGTTCCAATTAGCTTATTCAGTTTTCAATAATAAGCACATGGCCTTAAATGCTGAATGCACCCAGAGAAATATTTTAAAGGCCCAAATGTTGGCAGTGTTTTTTTCTGCTCAGAGAGCCCCAAAGGGGAAGCTGGTTTTTCTGGTCCAATCTGGCCCTGGCAGACCAGTAGGCTTACAGGTACCCAGGCAGGACTAGCGTACTCCACGAAGACAAAAGGGGCACTGGAGGGAGGATTGTGATCAACGTGCCCCTGGCAAACCAGCAGCACATTGGAAGAAGGAATGCCCCAGATGCCAGGGAGTGATGGGTGGCCCCTGGGCCATTGATAGTTTTTCAATCAGAAGACTGAAGGAATCCAAGGCAAAAAGTGGCTCTGACTAAAGATACCATCTACATAAGTAATGTCAAGACTTGAGCAGTCTTTGATGTGATGGACCGCTTGATAGAATTCCCTGTAGATTCTGAAGCAACCTCTCAGAATTAACCCAAAGAACTGGAAACCTTATAATCATAATGAATATGTACTGAGGGCATCAGGGAGAAGCAGGAGTACACGTCCCTGGAGCCCTTTTACGCAGCATCAGTGACTATTTTTAAATTCCTTTCTGTTTGTGTCCGGCTCTCCCATCCCTTTAGTGGGATGACACTATCTTAGGGGCCACTCTGTTTCTCAAGGGGCAAGGGAACCAGCCTCATCACCAAATGGTTCTGCTGCTGCTGCTGCTGCTAAGTCACTTCAGTCGTGTCCGACTCTGTGCAACCCTATGAACTGCAGCCCACCAGGCTCCTCTGCCCATGGGATTTTCCAGGCAAGAGTACTGGAGTGGGTTGCCATTGCCTTCTTCACCAAATGGTTCTAACAGAAGATAAAAAGGAACCGATGCTAGGGTGAAACAGATCACCAGCCCAGGTTGGATGCATGAGACAAGTGCTTGGGCCTGGTGCACTGGGAAGACCCAGAGGGATCGGGTGGAGAGGGAGGTGGGAGGGAGAACCGGGATGCGGAATACATGTAAATCCATGGCTAATTCATTTCAATGTATGACAAAAACCACTGCAATGTTGTAAAATAATTAGCCTCCAACTAATAAAAATAAATGAAAAAAAAAAAAAAAGGAACCGATGAAATCTGAAGCTAAAATAGAAGCCTTAGTAGACTCTGCAATGTGGAATATCAATGTTCTGGGCTTGGCTGAAGATATCCGGCCAATGATTGTCAAGTTAAAATGGTTATATAGAGTATCTAAATAAAAGGTACAAATTTCTTAAACTTAGAAAAGATCCACAAAAGTGTTTGTAAATAGAGTACCAAAATGAGAGATCACTAGTTTGACTAACAATAGTTGATATTTGGAGCCTGATGGAAGTTTGGAGGGAAGGCCATCTCCCCTAAGCTAAATGAGGGAATGTAAAATCTTATAGCATACGTGAATGGGTGCATCAGTCCTTTGATAATCATTGAGGTGGCTAGCCAATTCTTTGAAAAAGAAAAATAAAACTGTCCTTATTTTACAAATACAGTCTTTATAGGACCAAAGGTATGGCTTCAAAAATAATCCAAAGCCCATCAATCCTTTTACCACTCCCAAAATCTTCCCTATTTATCTTAAGAGGGTTCTAAGCATTAAACAAAAGGGAAATAAAGTCAACCAAGAAGAAACTTGCCTGTACTTTTAAGATGTGAATGTCCTACCTGGTCTTCCCAGGAACTTTTGTCTCCAACACCTTTTCAAGACAAATTTTGAAAAGCAAGTCAAATAATTTAGACCTTGACTTGTCAAGGATAAATAGAAATCCTAAGAGTCTTTTCTGTTGTTGTTTAATTGCTAAGTCGTGTCCAACTCTTTTGTGACCCTGGGGACTGTAGCCCTCCAGGCTCCTCTGTCTATGGGATTTCCCAGGCAAAAATACCAGAGTGGGTTGCTATTTCCTCCTCCAAGGGATCTTCCTGACCCAGAGATCAAACCCACCTCTCCTGCACTGGCAGGTGGATTCTTTACCACTGCACCATCAGGTAAGCCCGTCTTTTCTGTGAATATTAGTAAAAAGATTTAGCCGTCTAGACAAATGAGTTTGATTTGTTCCATCTGCCAGAAGCCTAATTGCAATCCAACAGTTTGTAACTGATGAGTTTTATGATATTGTACCTGACTCAAGGTTGAAATTTTGTAATGGGAACTATGAGACCACTGTATGTGTGTGATTGTTAAGAATTTGTATGTGTGTTACAGCTGCATGGTATTGCCAAAAATTGATTTAAGAGAGTTCTATTTAATTGGCTTAAAGGAAATTGAGTGCTTATACAAATACTCAGAAACAGAAAATAATCCAACCAGAATAAATTTCAGGTTCATGTCATCTGGAAAATATTCAATACTAAACTCATATTTAGTACTGAGGTGGCTTAAGCTTGTTGGATTAATATAGACATGTCTTTAGAGTCATCAATGTTAAGTACAGAACTTCTGTTGTACCTACATTCACTAGAGATCAAATAAGACCTTATTCTGTTACAAATTTGTCAACAGGAAAGGTGAACTTAATGTGGAAAAAACTTTTAAAGAAAGTAGAATGTGTGTTTTCAGTAAAGAAGATATAAGGAATGGAATTGTATTTTATTAAGGGAGAAGAATGTAACTCTGTCTTAAAGCTGACTATCTCTGAATAGAAAAAAATCAAGTGATGTATATAGAAAATGATGGGAAGGTTTTTGGAAAGTAGACCCTGAGAAAAATGTTTTGTGCATTGTTAAGACTGACTGAGTTTAGAATGAATTTAACTGAGTAATGAATTTTAAAAGTAAGCTGATGTAAGACTTGAATGGGCTTCTCTGGGGGCTCAGACAGTAAAGAATCTGCCTGCAAATGCAGGAGACCAGGGTTCAATCCCTGGGTCTTGAAGATCCCCTGGAGAAGGAAATAGCAACCCACTCCAATATTCTTGAATGTGGCTTTTCTCTCTGTTAAGAAGACAGGAGACCCAGGTTTGATCCTTAGATCAGGAAGATACCCTGATAAAGGGAATGACTACTTACTCCAGTATTCTTGCCTGGAGAATTCCATGGACAGAGAAGCCTGGTGGGCTGCAGTCCATGAGGTCACAAAGAGCAACTGAGCATGCACACATACATACATTGTGAAACAATCAACTCAATCAAGCTAATTAACATATCCATTATCTCACATAGTTGCACTTTTCCTTTTGTGTATATGTGCCTATTTGTGTAAGATGAGAACATTTAAAACCTACCCCCTTAGCAAACTTCAAGGATACAATTCAGTATTATTAACTATAGTCACATTGTTGTGCATTTAGCTTTGCTTTTAAAATGTGTCTTCATTACATTTGAGATTTATTTGTATCATATAAGGCAGAAATACAATGTTTCTATGTACATGGCTGCTTGTCCCATTCAGGTTCATTGACTAGTCTTTCCTTTTCTCAACATTTTTGGTGTCGTAAATCATATTTCCATGCATGCCTATGCTTGTGCATGAATTCTCTCCTGTCTATACTACCTCAATCAGTTATTAAGCTCTAGTGTGGCAAGTTCTCCTACGTTGTTGAGTTTCTTCCGGATATGCTTTGATTCTTATTTTTCCTATTCATTTAAACACTATCTCGCTCAATTCTGTGGAAATCTCTATCAGTATGTTAATGACAATTGGATTGAATTTTAGTTTGAGGGGAGGGATAATCAGCAGTGAATGCTGCTGAATCTTCACATCCATAAACATGACATATCTCTCAATCTCTCCATTCATTCAGGTCTTCTTTGGTATGCTTTTTATACAATTTTCAAGAAATTTATTCCAGGTGAATACTGACTGAAAGAAAAATATACAAGTTAAATTTTATTCAAGATCTTACTGAGGACTTTAGTCCAGGAGATAGCCTCTCAGATACCTCTGAGGAACTGCTCCAAAGAGGTAGGGTAAGAAGTCAGTATACATGAGACTTGGTTGGGGGACAGTATCTGAGCCTCTCAGATACCTCTGAGGAACTGCTCCAAAGAGGTAGCGGTAGAAGCCAGTATACATGAGATAAATCCAAGAAAAATTCTTAAAACTGAAGGCCTTAGGGAATGAGGATAGCTAAGAATACATCTTGGTAAAAGATTATTGCTAGTCACGAAGAAAAAATATCTCAAGTTAACGTTTACTGTGCTTTTTTATGTAAGGTAAGATGAAAGAAACTGGGTTTATTAAAATTCTTCCTGAGATACATATATCTAAGAAACATGTTTGCCCACAACACAAAGCATCTTGTAGTCATCTCTAATTTCCTCTATCTGAAGCACAGAGTGCACTTTTGGTCAATGACCACAGTGGATGAATCTTTGTAGACTTGGATGGTGACAAAAATTATCTTTGCTCTTCTTTTGCCTGTACACTTAATAACTTTTATTGCTATGATTAATAGGATTCTGTTATATTTTAAGTTGCAGGTGTTTAGAAATACCATTTTTTTAATTATTTAAACTTTTTATTTGGAAATAACATATGCACATAAAAGATATATGAATAAGGACAGTTTAAAGGATAATTTAATAACTCTCTCGCCCCAACATCTACCCATTATTAACACTGACATTGACATTCTTGAAGAATATAGTCTCCTTTCCCTTTTCATAGAACTTCCTCATTTGGAGTTTGGGTGGTGTTTGCTAATTAAATTTTGGGTTCTCAACCAGAAACACACAATAGTAATATCAGTTTCTCCTCAAGTCATTTTACCTGAAAGAAGGCATCCATCTGCCCTCCTTGATACTTTTTATTAGATGGTCAGGGTACTGTCTAGTTTCTGCTTTTTATATAGTTAGTATTTTTCTTTTGCAACTGATTAGCCAATGTAAAAAGATAATTTCAGACTACATAAGAATCCTGCAATTTTCTATTAGGTTTTAGCACCCATTGATGCTTCATGCCTGACCCAATTTTTACTATGATGATTGGAAAGAATGATTTCTTTCCAACTGCTTGTTTTGATGTTTGCATATTGATTTTCTATCCATCATCTTTACTTATTTTTTAGTTCTCCTTGTGAGGAAAACTTCATGGATTTTTCCAAATTAATAGTTATACTGTGGAGTCTTTATTCAGATATTTCTCTTGACCTTTGAGAGGTAAACTCTTAATTCAATTTTGAGAGCCTAGTGCACAGAAATTTTTCTATCTTTCCAGCTTAGCTGTGTGTTTCTAATTATATTTTATCCTGAATGTCAAGGTATTTTTAGCAGATAGGCAGTCTGCAATACCTCACTTTACTAAGATGCAAAAATACAAATATTGAGACTAGAGTTACTCAAAAGTGTTGGTCCTACAGAAGACAAAGACAAAGTCTTTGCATCAGAATATAAATTACATACTCATTCCCTATTGAAAGAGTCTTACCATGAAAAAAAGTCAGCCCATCTAAAAAAGCAGTTTTGATCCCTGGGTCTGAAAGATCCCCTGGAGAAGGGAATGGCAACCCACTCCAGTAGTGTTGCCTGGAGAATTCCACGGACAGAGGAGCCTGGAAAGCTATACTCCATAGGGTTGCAAAGAGTTGGACATGATTGAGTGACTAACTTTCATCTTTTCAGAAATCCATAGGCTACACTTTGACAAGCAAGGTCTAGATGACTCACTTGAAAAAAGAAGTAGTATTTCTATCTTGAACAATTCCCTGTGGTTCAAGAGTTTCTCCATGTGTGGAAGAGTAATTAATCAATACATATTAATGAGTTAATGCTATGTGAAGTGTGATGGATGAAATGTTCTTGTGATGGGATAAATCCAAGACAAATTCTTAAAACTGAAGGCAAAATGCATTTTCTACATAATACTTCTACTTATGAATATAGGCTCCATCTACTCTAAAATTTTCCTTTGCATGATTTTCAACCTCCTGTCTTACCAGAACTGAAATTTCAACCATCAGAGTTAGAAGGATTTTTTCCATATTCATTAAAATTGAATCATTTGGCAAAGAGATTTTTTTAATACATGAAGCAATTTAATTTATCTTTAGTAGTTTAGATAAATAAGTAAAAGGCTTTCTAGGCATCCTCTCTTAAAACCAAGGAAAGGAAACAATTTAACTCAATAAATACAATAAAGTTTTTTTCTATTTTCAAAATTTCCAACCAGCTACAATACAATAAACATCAATTATCTTATTAGAATATATAACAGTTCAAAAATTAAAAATAAATAAGTTGCTGCTACAAAATTGCAGCATAATATATAGTTAACTCATTCTGTTATGGTCAATTAAGAGAAAGATGGCAGGAAAGATGATATAGTCAAAGAAAAAAAGTGGGGAGAGGTACAAAGGAAAGGAGAGTTAGAGTAAAAAGAGAAAAAGAAGGAAAAAGTGTTTTCCTGAATGAGTTAGATACGTGAGGTCACCAAAAGGAACACATTCTCTGACTAAGGCACTGTGGTAAGAACTGTTTCATTTGATGATTTTATTGCACTGGTGTCTTCAACCTAGGGGTAAAGGAGATTCTCACATTCACCAGGCAGAAGGACCATCAGCAAGTTTTCGCTCTTCCTCACTGGACCAGAAGAATTGCAGAGAGGTGATCTTAATGCTGAAGGAGGAATGCTCACTACAACTTGTCCACACCCGAATGGCAGAGTGCTTCCACCACTACCGAGAAGGCTCAAAGACAATGGTTAATTCAGGCTTTTCTTCTTGAAGTGTTTCTAGTGCACGTTTTGTATCATAGTTGAAATACATTTCACACAACCTATAAAAGCAAAAGGAGAGCCTTGGATTACACTCTTCAAATGAACACTTGCAGAGTTTTTGGCTTTAAAAATCTCGTCTCCTCTCTTAACCTCACACTTCTCAGCTTTCCAGTGCTACACATCATGCCTAATGTGGTTTCTGTTACATTTTTAACCTTCAAGTTTAGAAATATTTAAACATGCAAATATAAAGAGAGTAGTATAGTTAATCCTGCCATCTAGCTTTGACAGTTTACAACTCATGGCCAGCCTTGTTTCAGCTATTACCCACCTAGCTCCTCACATCAGTGGATTATTGTAAGCACAGCAGTTCAAACATCTATAAATATATCAATATGTGAAATGGAAAAACTTTTAAAAGAGAATTACAATGCAATTATCACACCCAAAAAAGTTAACAATAACTTTCACATATTAATATATGTCCAATCAGTGTTTCAATTTCCTCAACAATCTGATAAAATTTTTATATGATGTTCATTTAATCTGGAGCCATATAAAGTCCACACATTGAGAATTCCCTGATGATCCAGTGGTTAATTTGGTGCTTTCACTCCTGTGGTCTAGGTTCAATTCCTTGTCAGGCAAACAAGTTCCCATGAGCCATAGCCCACCCCTCCACTACGCCAAAAAAAATCCACATATTGTAATTCCTTGGTATGCCTATCAATGATATGAGTTCTTCCTCCATCTCTTTTTTTTTTAAATCTCCCTTACAACTTAAGTAAGAAATTATGCTATTTGTCCTGTATCACTTCTAATAATCTTGATTTGGGTGTGCTATGGATGGTTCATGTTCCTTCAAAATTCATATGTTAAAGCCCTAACCCTCACTATGATGGTATTTGGAAATGGAGCCTTCAGGATGTAATGAGGGTTAGATGAGTTCATGGGGATGAGTCCTTAAGATGGGCTTAGTGCCCTTATAAGAAAAGATACCATAGCACGTACTCTCTATCTCTGTCTCTGTCTGTCTGTCTTTCTCTCTGTGTACCACATGAGGACACAACAAGCCCAGAGGAAAGCTCTCACCAGAAACCAAATCAGCCAGCACCGTGATCGTGGATGTTCCGCCCTCCAGAACTATGAGAAATGAGTGACTATGATTTGTTTAAGGCATATAGACTATTCTATTTTGTTATGGCAGCCTGAGTTCACAAGGCAGATTGACTGCATGTATGGATTCCCCAGTCTGTGTCGAGCTTGTCCCTCATCTCCAGAGTGTCCTAAAGATATAGATAATAAGTAAGCAAGAAAATGATGTAGCTTATATGATGGTGTTCAACACAGTGGAGGAAAATAAGCAGAGAAGAGGAAAGGCATTGCTGGGTTGCTATTTTCAGTAGGATGGTTACAGTCAGACTCACAGAAAAGACCTCTGAGCAAAGAATTTAAGGATGCACAGGAATAAGACACATGGACATCAGAGTGTAAGAAGTCCCAGGTAGAGGAAGAGCAAGTGTATAGTTTCACAGGTGACAGTGTTTTTTGAAACAGCAAAGAGAATAGTGTGAATGGAGAAGGAACTAGGGTTAGAAGATGACTGCAGAAATAGCAGGATTATGTGGGGCCTTAGATACTGCCATGAGTTTATGGCTCTTGCTTTGTGAAACAAGCATGTTAATAGGAGTGATATGCTCTGACTCACGTTTTAGCTATACCCTCCATCTGCAGTGGTAGATGCAGAATAGCCTATCAGAATGTCAGCAGGACAGTCCAGACAAGAGGTGACAATGGCTTGAACCAGGAAAGGAGTTGTGAAGCTGGCAAAAAGTGGTCAATGAGTGGGCATGCTGTGAAAACAGAGTTAAAAGGACATGCCATTGGACTGGATATGCACATAAAGAAAACGTATCAAAGACAACACCAGGCTTTCTGCACCTGAACAGTTCAGACTGAGTTACCATTGACTGAGATAGGTAAGAAACGGATTTTACACAGAGGGGAGCAGCACAGGTTTGGGTTTGGACGTGTCAAGTTTGGGTGGCTTATTATGTATATAAGCAGAAAGGTGAGACAAGCATTTAGACATGGAATTCAGGGAGATATGAACTGGAGGGAGGGGTACAGCATGTATGTGATAAAACCAGAAGACTAGATGATTTTTTTTTTTTTAAGCAGAAAGTATAGAGAAGAAAAATTAACTCAGAGATTGAGTTCTGGGTATTCAGCATACAAAGGTCAAGATGATGAAGAGAAACCAGAGGAGACTAAGCAGAAATAGCCAATGTAATAGGAGAAAATTCAGAGTAGAGTATGTTGTCCCTAAAACCAAGTGAAGGAAATCTTTAGTGAAGGAAGTGATTACCAATGCTAGCAGAAGTCATGAAACTATTTACGAAGCTCTTACTAGAGAGGTAATCAATGAGTGGCTTAGCAGTATCATTGATGACAGAAGGGAGCAGATGGCCCCAACACCTTGAATATAGGCCAAATTTTATGAATTTATGATCTTGATGTTTATGGAGCACTTTTCACCTAGAAATTCTCAGAAACCAGATGCACAACACCCTACTATGCAAGGACTTTTACAATAGACAGGTCTAATTTTACAACGTATAATACCTTGTATAGAAATATAATTCTATTTAGCTACTTTCACTGGGAATTGTGTTTCTTTCAAGAATATGGATGGAAAGTCTTTTCACACCCAACTGAAACTTCATTATTCTAAACATCTGGACAAAGTTGAATATGTAGTTCATGACTCACATACAGTATATATTAAAAAAAAAAAAAGCTGCAGTTGGACAAGGCTCAACCTTTAGACTGAGCTACTAAACTGAACTGAACTGAACAACCTTACCCAGAGTGTGAATGAAGCCATCGTGGATTTTGGAAACTGCAAAAATTTTCTTTAGTACTGTGAGCCGTGCCATACAAATCTCTTCAGGGCGCACTTACCTCAGGCTTTTCAGGAGGCAGCCCTGCTGTTTGAGCACTTCACAGAGAAGCATGACCCCCAGATCTCCCAAATCGTTGTTGCCTAGGCTCAGCTTCCGCAGGCTCTGGTTAGAAGTTAGAAGTGTGGAGAGATCCCAGCAGCAGTGTGATGTGAGGCTGCAGTTATCTAACCTGCAAGAAAGAAGGTGACTTTTTTAAAAATGTCTCCTTAATTACCCTACACAGGTCTCCCAGGTCTCTGCCTGTAATATTTCAAATGTAGGAAAAGCTCAGGATTAACAAGCTTTGAACTGCTTTATGTGCCAAGAGTTATTCTTTCCTCTTCAAATGAGAGTATTTTTTCCAATCTACTGGATTGTGCAGAGCAAATTAGTAAGAGCAGTTTGTGAAACAGTTCTTTCCAAATTCTGTGTCTCCCCACAAATTTTCCTAAGACAAAAGTACATACCAACCCCAAGGAACTCTAGTATTTACCTTTATACTATCTAAAAGTACAACTTCTCCCAGTCTCATAATCCTGTGATAAACCAAACCCTAGGAAGACACTATCACTTCTCAGATACAGATTCATCATTCTCCCAAACTACCTCGTTCCCTGGGGCCACTATGCATTCCCATCACCGTAATAAGCTAAGAGACTTACTCCAACACCTGAAGCTTGCAGTTGTGGTGCAAGAGTCCCTCACAGAGTAACTTGACCCCCATGTCTCCAAGAGCATTGCCCTGTAGGTAAAGGTGGGTGAGATTCGGATTTGTACTGAGCACTGAGGATAGAGCTGGACAACAACCTGATGTAAGGCCAGAATTCACCAACCTGTGGAAGGAATAAGGAAAAGAAAATTCAATGTGGGGCAGGGAGGATAAATCAGGAGCTTAGGATGAACATACACACACTACTATGTATAACATGATAACCAACAAGGAGTACATAGCACAAGGAATTCTATGCAATATTCTGTGAAAACCTATATGAGAAAAGAATCTAAAAAAGAATGAATATATGTATATGTATAACTGAATCACTTTGTTGTACACCTGAAGCTAGCACATTGTAAATCAACTGTACTCCAATAAAACTAAAATAAATTTAAAACAAAAAAAAGAGTCCTCAATGCCCAACCTTTCTTGGACATCACACAGCTGTCTCAACATAGGAACTTCATCTTATCTGAAAAGTTTCATCCCTCAACTTACAGGCCAGAAGCCAGCATCTTGAATATAATCTGTAGACAGTATGACTCCCTATCTCTGGCCTCATAAAAGCTACAGATGATGTCTAAGCAGATGCTTTCCTGGGGTCAGTAGAAGAGACAGCAAAAGCAAACTGATCCACATTACCTCCACATTTCTCCTTCTTCCTACATATATTCCCTCTGGCTCTACATGTTCCTCACAAGCACTTCTTCAAGTGCAGAGACTACCTTATTTGATTTTTCTATCAACTGGGCAAGGGGACAGTGTAGCTCTAACTATTGAATATTTTTTTACAGAGGAGAAAGCTAAAGCTCATCAAATCATGTTCCCCTTAAGGTCAAAGAGCAAGTATTTGGAAGAGAAGGAACCTATACTAACACCTTCTAGAGTCATCCCCTGCTCTGTTGCCCCTTCTATCTACCTCATACTATGTTCTGCACTATAAAGCGCTTCTCAGAGCATAAAGCCTCTTTTTACATTATACTCAGTATAATTAAGACTGTTGATGTACTATCAGGTTGGGCATACACCATACATTTGTGAAACATATACCATACGTTTGTGAAAAAGCATTTCACAAGCTGCTCAACTTTGTAACTAGATAATACTATAATATAGCATTATCACCCAACAACAGCATGAGAGCTCTGAAAAGAGAACTGTGTCACTCCTGAAAAGAAGCTCAGAGGGTGGTATACAGTATACAGAAAGTCATAATGTGAGACCTTGAACAAAGCCTTGGTTTAAGAGTATCTCATGCAGGCACATTCCTTTCTGCCATAACCCTTAACAATGATATGTTTTTAAATTCTAAGGTGTCTTGGAATCAGGAAAAATAGAAGGAAGTCATTCAGATAGTATAGCATGAACAGATGACCCAAAGGAAACAGAAGCACTTACCCACCCACTGGTCTCCATCTTCCTAGTCAAGGATGAATCACAACAAAAGACTGAGCAAGCAAGACAAAGAGGGAAATGAAGCCCGAGAGGGACAAGCAAAAGAAACTGAGTGGTTTATAGCAAGCTCTTATCTCCAGCGAAGAAGAATTTTATCAGAGGATCTTCAGTGAACATGCAGAAGAGTTTTTCAGGACTCTTGGCTGTTAGAAAGAATATTTGTAGTCCCCTACCCCCAAATTTCATACGTTGAAATCTTAACTCCCAATGTGATGGTATTAGAATGTGGGGCCTTTGAGATGTGATTAGGTCTTGAGGCTGGAGTCCTCATGATGGGACTAGCACCCTTATAAAAGAGACCCCAGAGATTTGCTTTGCTCCTATTACCATGTGAAAACACAACAAGAATGGCTATATGCAAGGTAGGAACAGAGTTCTTATCAGGAACCAGGTAATCTACAGGCCTAACCCTAACCTTGGATTTCCAACAACCAGAACAGTGAGAAATAAATATTTGTTGTTTGAGACACCCAGTCTGTAGTATTTTTGTTATTACAGTCCAAATGGACTAAGATACTGGCAAAAATGAAGAACGTTCCAGAAGCCTAGAGATAGTCATCAAAAAGGAAAGTAAGACTATTTTGACAGTTACAGAATAGTAATGTTCACCACTGTTTCCAAAATAAAAAGGTTGGAAGGTATTATACAACAGATGTCTGAGGAGAAGTACACAATGAAGTGGCAGCAATTACCAACAGATAGGGTGGTTTTTGTCAAGAATAAGTTACATCAGGCTTATCAAAGTATTGTTAACCACTGAGATTGACTGATGGGTACACAGAGCATATATTGAAATGTTTAGAAAATCAAACCACCATGCCCTATCAAACAATCTATTAGGTTAGAGGAATGTAACCAACATCATATATCTTGGCTTCACCCAATCCATTCAACTCAGATCTACATTTACATTTACTGAACATAGATATTTCACCATGTATTATATGGTGATTGACTTTTTAAAAATTACTAATGAGTTTGTGATTTATGTCACAAAAATGTCTCACAAAGAAAACTGAGGAAGAAGGTTTAACATCTACTGATTATCTACTAAGCACCTGGCTCTGTGATGATAAATTTAAATAGGATTATTTCATTAAAGTATTACAAAACCAAGATGCAGGTGTTATTTTTAGCTTTTTTTTTAAATAGAAAAACTAAGAATCAGAGAAATTAACTGAAGAATAAGAAGGTGTTTTCTAGGTGGATGGTGGAAATGGGAGAGTAAGGGTAAACCTTCAGGCAAAAGGAAAATGCTACACAAGGGTGAGGAAGAGTGGAAAAGTGACCAGGTTCGTAGAATTAAAAATTAATTTAGTATGACTCAAAACAGAGTGAAGGGCCTGGTAGGCAAGAGGGAGGAGCAGTGATCTATGGCTGATCAGGCACAGCCTTATGTGCCAAGCTAAGATATATTAAATTTACTCAGACTTCAAAGAAGAACTTCTGAAGGTTTTTTGAGCAAAAGTCCAATATTAACCAATTTACACTTTAGAAGATTCCCTGCAGTGTTACGTAAAAGAAAGATGAAAGACAGCAGGGATTGAAAGTAAAAACAAAATAAAAATGATCCTCTGTTTACTTGTCAGCCCCCTGGAAAGTCCCACTTTTCAACAACATGGAATAGAGAGGGCAAGAAGAGGGCAAAGGAGAGGGATGAGAAGTAAGTTACAAGAAATAAAGATTTACAAATGCTTAGTATGTGATGCTCATGTAACACTGTGGAGGAGGCAGGGGCAATATGCGGTCAGAAAGAAAGGTCTAAAGTTCAAGATAAGAAAATTTGACTGTATCTAACAAAATATAAAATGCCTAAGTTTTGTCTTATTAATTTTACTTATAGGTTTCTGTCTCAAAAGAAAAGAAATATGCTTATATAAAATATATATAAATATGCTGTTTTCAGAGTTACTTGTAACAGTAAAAAAGAAACTCATTCAATACTACATCATTCAATGAGCAGCTAACTACATTACCGTAATGAATACTACAGAGCATTACCAAAATCTGTAGATTTGTATATAGCAACATGGCAATGTGTCCACAATAAATGAAAAAAGCAAATCATGGAAAAGTACCCACATAATGATTCCTGTTTGGACAGACATAGTGTTATGGGTTGAATCATGTCCCCCAAAATTTCATACGTTGAAGTCTTATCCCCCAGTACTTCAGAATGTGATCTTATTTAAAAATAGGGTTATTGAAGATGTAACTAGTTAAGATGAGATGATTAAAGTAAACTCTAGTCCAATAAGACTGATATCATTATAAAAGGGGGATATTCAAACACAGAGATAGACACACATCAGCTCAGTTAGAATACCATGTGCTAAAAAAACTAAGATTGAAGTGATGTACCTACAAGTCAAGGAATGTCAAAGATTGCCAGTAAACAATGAGAAACTGGAAGAGAAGTATGGAACAGATCCTTCCTCACAGACATCAAAAGAAACCAACCCTGACAACACCTTGATCTTAGACTTTTAGATTCTGTTATTGAAATAAAATAAACTTTTGTTGGAACTACTTTAACAGTAGAATACACATTCATCTCAAGAGCACTTGAAACATTTTCTAGGATGGATCATATGTTAGGCCACAAAACAAATCTTAAAAAATTCAAGATTGAAATTATGCCAAGTATCTTCTCTGACCATAATGGTACAAAACTAGAAATCAATAACAGGAGGGTAATTGAGGAAACTCAAACACATGAAAATTTAAACAACACACTTCTGAACAACCAATGGGTCAGAGAAAAATTGTTGCAGGAAACAATAGCTTGAGTTAGACAAAAATTAAAACACAATATACCAAAACTTAGAGGATGCAGCAAAATCATTTCTGATAGGGAAGTTTCTAGGTATAAATGCACACATCAAGAAAATTGAGAGCTCTTAATTAAGCAGCTAGACTTCCCTGATGGCTCAGAGGTAAAAAATCTACCTGTCAATACAGGAAAAACAGGTTCAATCCCTGGGTCAGGAAGATCTCCCTGGAGAAGGAAATCCCAACTTACTCCAGTATTCTTGCTTGGGAAATCCCATGGTCAGAGGAATTTGGCAGGCTAAGGTCCATGGGATCCAAAAGAGTCAGACACAACTTAGCTACTAAACAACAGCAACAATTAAACAACTAACTTTACACCTCAAGGAACTAGAAGAAGGGGAATAAAATAAGCCCAAAGTTAACAAAAGGAAGGAAATAAAAAAGATTATAGCAGAAATAAATAAAATAAAGAACAGGGAAATAACAGGAAAAAAATTAGCAAATTGAGTTGGCCCTTAGAAAATTTACAAATGTTTAGCTAGGAAAATAAATAAATAAAGAGAGAGAAAACCCAAATCAATAAAATTATAAAAAAAGGTGAGACATTAAAACTGATAGCACAGAAATACAAAAGATCATAAGAACTGCTACAACTATAACCACCTGGACAACCTACAAAAAACTGAAAAATTCTTAGAAACATACTAAATACCATTGAATCAGAAATAGAAAATCTAAACAGACTAATCACTAATAAAGAGAATGAAGTAGCACTCAAAAAAACTCACAACAAAGAAAAGCCCAGGACCAGATGACTTCACTGGTGAGTTTTAGTAAACATTTAAAGAAAAATTAATGCTAATTCTTCTCAAATTCTTCCAAAAATCAAAG